ACTGCCTCTTATCAGATTCTGCTGGAAATGAGGCATCAATAGCATCATGGGTAACATCATCAGTGAGCTTGGAAGGGATTTCACAGCAGGGTCGCTTTGCCTGCTGCTATCATGCTCTTGAATCTTGTTTCTAGTGTTTGGAAATGATATAAATATTACTTACATTATTTTTCTAAATCGTTGTTGATGGGCACTTTTTTATCTTGAATTTTAAAACATGCAGTAGTTAAATTAACTATCTGGATAAACTTTTTGTTTACACACTATAATGGACACTGACTTCAAAAAACAACGACAAAAAAAAGCAGAAAACCAAGCAGATAAAAATGATTCTACAAAAAGTTCCCGTGATTATTAATGACTCTAGTCATGAGCCACATAGTTCACCTGTTCACCGACTGTAGCTGGATATTTACCCCGGTAAAATAATGGACCTTCGAAGCTAAAACAATGTTTTGTTGTATTATTATGTATTGTGTATAATTATTGCTTTTTATTGACAATGTGGATGACTTTTCCATGTACGTAAAAAACTTACGTATCATATTTCACCAGTAGATTCGACTCGAGGTCGGAAGCATTTTTTACACCAGATTTTTACTTTGTTGGCATCATGCATTTGTTTTAAGTTAGTAAACCAGCTTTTTAAAGTGAGTCGTTGCCAGTAGTCTTTAGAATATTTAATACATGTCGCAGAGTCCCAGTCGATTTGATGTTTTGTCGGTAAATGGTGTTCAGCGATGTGACTGTTGACGTCACTATTTCTTGTCACTTGTTTGTGTTCAGTCAGTTGTGTGCCAAGGTTTCTGCCAGTTTCACTAATGTAGGTAGCCTGGCCATAGCAGCATTTGACCTTGTTTACTGTTCCCTGTCTGTCCTCCAGTTTGTCTTTGTCCTTGACATTAGTAAGTAGTTGTCGTAAAGTGGTTATCGGTTTGTGTGCAGTCAGGTTGTAGTATACCTGCGATAGTTTGAGAGGTGCCTCTGATGTAGGGTATAGTCGCTGTTGCAACAGGGCAAGAGTTGACGTTGGTCTGAGTGTCAGTCAGTTACTGAGAGTGTTCCTTCTAACAAAGTCTGTGTTGTAGTTGTTCTTACTAAAAACGTTGTTTAGGTAGTCAGTCTCATCTTGTAGGCCGTCAGGTGAGTCGCAAACTACATGTAGTTGTGCTCGTCTTGTCAAAGTCTGGATAGTGCAAACGTACATACATACAGACAACTTATTGACGAGATCAAGCAAAACTAACTACAAGAGAACGACTGGAAAACTGACAATTTGACTAACAATAGATGTCTATTTAACTGTGACAATAGACAGATAGAAATGCACCAATTACATTACGAGTCTTCATAGCCAATAACATCATGGCTTAAATGACAGACGACCAATAACACTGCAATGTAATGGACCAATTAGATCAATAACCAGAGCATAATACCATCAACTGATGTGATACAACTCACTGTGACTCTGAAGCTGACTACCGCATAGGTTGTCAAAACGTCCGTTACTGTCAACAACAACAGTCTTATTCAGGACTATGTTAACCTAGACGATCAAACTTAATCTATTAATTTTCTAGTTATTTAATTGACCCTGAAATGCAAACATTGAGATCAACATACCTTGAATTTGATAAACTGGATGCTTAGTTAATGGTGAAAAATGAGTCCAGATTCCTTTGTTGCTTTTTCGACATGTTGAACACAAAGCCGACACAAGGATTGAAACGGACAGAGTTTTCGTGCATGTGTACTAGTACCAAATCCAAGTCAGATGTCTTTTTCCGACATTTCTTAGTTTTTGCATGTGAGTTCTGCAAATGAAACTTGCATTTAGTTTGAATTGATGGATGGTTTTTGTGTGTTACAAAGGTGTGCCGTAACAGTATTACTTAGTTTACTTTTTCCAATGCTTATTTCCTTTTTAATAAAGTGTTTTTTGTTGCTTTTTTTTTGGTTCAATTTAATGACAAAAGTAGCCGGGGAAAATCCCTGGCCTTAGTGACAACCCTGAAATTATCTGACCATTTTAATGTGCTGTCCAGCTCCCCCTATAATTTCTAAATGTTGGGCTACATTCTCTGAAGGGTAGACATCTTAAATCAAGTCCCACACTGAGCAGGGATCCAGGGGACCTGGACCTTTCAACTATATACTGCACATTAAGGGGTGGCGAATGGTACCTCGGAAAACGTGGGTCTCGGAAAATTTTGGCGGGATTTCGAAATCTCGGAAACGTTTTTGATAAGTCTCGAAGTCTCGTTTTTTCATGGTTTATTTTTACTTTTTTTGAGTCTCGAAACTTTTCACCAAAGAGTCTCCGGCTCAGATTTCTCACTAGGATCTCGGCGTCTTGGCAAGTCTCGGATTTTACCATTCGCCACCCCTACATTACAATTGTCTTGAATTCATAAAAATAGTTTGTTTTTCATTATGTCAGTAGAGAAAAGAAAAATCTAATTGGGATCCACTTCAACACACATTCACTTAGTGTTTGTGATTTTTAGCAACATTTATTTTCTTATCCACTTCCTTCTCGACAGAAATATCACAAAAGTGATTTGTTCACGTAATTGTCATTTTTTATTTTTCTTCAAGATGCCAGTACAATTCTCATTATCAATGAAGCAACAGATAGCGAATATGTTAGCCAATCATATTGCAGAATTTGTGACGATACCATGTTTCACTACTTTGCTTTTGCCAATGATTTAGCATTTATCTATCTTTGAAAGCATAATAATACTACTTTATTATAGAATGTATTTGTAAATGTCAATATTCCTGTAAAAATCTCTTTCTTTCTTTATAGGAAGCAATCACAAGAATGGTAGACTAATGGAGGTTTGCATTTATGAGTGTGCAGTAGTGTTGGACACTGGATGGATGACATAACTTGCACCTAGTACAAGGCAACTGGATAATGGAGAAGACAGACTAGAGGGCAAACAAGAAAACTGACTAGGCAATGGACTGGGCAAACTGGAACTGTCTGGATGACATCACTTAGTACAAGAATCTTGTTTAGAAGAGAATGGAGCAAATGGTTATGAGATATCATGTGCAGCTGGTTCAAGAGTTGGGCTGAGGATTGTGGAGAACATCTGGTTTGTATATTGC